CGTTAAGGGTTACAGCGGTGTTATCTTTACAGCCACCTGAGACAGGAAGAGGCCTCCAAGCTGACTTCCTGTCACTCACGTTACTGTGGAAACAGCCGGCGTCATGGAACCTTCCATTTTGCGGGTTTTGACACTGAAGCGCGTTTTTTCCTCGGGGCCTGGAACAGAAGATTATTTTTTATCTGTCACGCCGGCCACAAGTTATCGCTTTCTCTGCACCTTCTGATAATTGAGCGTCTTCGTCGTCTCACGCCCGGGCGCCAGGGAGACGCAGACACCTGAAAGCGGAACATTTTTTTGGGGCGCCGCCTGTGATTTTTTTTTAAGCCTTTTTAGCCCAATGAGTGAGAGTATTCTAACCCCTCCCCCATCACTTTTGCCAAATCTTGAAGTCAAAAATAAAAGCAAAAATAAAAAAAATAAAAATGAAGAGTCTATTAGAAGATAAAATAATAAATCAGCTTTTGCGGCGACATTCACCTTCAAACCAGAGATTCCCCGGGGGTTCACATTACAGCTGAACCCCAGCAAAATGAAGGGTTAAATGCTTGTACCCCAGAAATCAGCGTTGTGGGCGGTCCCTCAGCATCCCCACAGACAATGCAGGATTATTATCTTTCATCAGGGTGCTTGTGACTGTCAGAAGAGACTGCGGGGGCGGGCCTTACAGCATGGAGGGAGACTGCGGGGGACGGTCTTACAGCATGGAGGGAGAATAAAGGGGACGGCCTTACAGCATGATGGGAGCCTGCGGGGGACGGTCTTACAGCGTGGAGAGAGCATGCGGGGGCCGGTCTTAACTGTACCTGTGTGCAAGGCCTTTTACGGAAGTCGTCAATGACACTTGAGATGCATGCTAGTTTTAGGGTGGAGAAGCAGAACCTAATCGGCTGCCCTGTAATTAAAGGAGAACTATGGGGTCAGTGTTTTTCCCCATAGTTCTCCTTAGGGTAACAGGAGGACACAAACTAGCGTCCTCCCGTAACCCTAAGCTCAGTATACTGAGACGCCGCAGCCGGAGCAGATCCCGACCTCGACGTCGAGATCCGCCCAGCTGCGTGAGTGACAGCGGGCTCTGCCTATCTAGAGGCAGAGCCGGCTGTACCCGCCCCCTCCCCCGTCCGTTCCGCCAGTCAGCTGGCAGATCGGAGCGGGGAGGGGGGAATCCAGCCCTCCCCCTGTCACGGCAGAGAGCCGTGACAGGATCGAGAAGTGAGCGAACCCGGTATGTGTTCCCTCACCTCCCGATCTACTGAGCCGACCTGTGACAGTCTCATTGTCACAGGTCGGCTAGAACTATGAGGTGAGTGGAAATCACTCATCTCATAGTTCTCCTTTAATATCACTGCCCTGCAGCTGGGGGGACAATCCAGGGGTTAAGCTCACCACACTCGTTGCAATCAGATTGTACAATCTCCTTTACATCTACCAACAAGTATACAGTGCAGGGGCCAGTCTGATGGGATATAAGCTGATTGGATAGCTCAGGTTGGTCGGCATATCACACAGTCTTGGCAGACCTAAAGTTTATAGTACAGAGATTGTACGGTCACATTGTCTCTGTAGACTTCAATGGCCTTTTATTTCCCTCCATGGGCCGCCTTGTGAAGTATGTGGGTACCCAGAACACAGGAAGTGAGAGCCAAACCCCGGAAGTCACCTTTCAAAGACCGTTCTAAGTGTGACTTCCTGTCTATCTCTATTACGTGACAATACAATGCTGGCAGTGCAACGCCGCATCATAAAACACTGCAAGGAGCAAACTGCTCATCGCACACCGCCGTATACATAGCAACGGCGCAGAATCCACCCGGTATAAATGCTGCTCGGGTGCTATGAGTTCCCGCAGTTCACATTTAACACTTTCTTTCAGTTTATTACATTCTCCGGGCCGTTGAACGTGAGCACAAGCAGAGGACACCTTCAGAGATCGGCAGCTGAAGTTACAGGCAAATCTCAGTTTGTCCCTCATTCTTAGAAACTTTAATATGATGAGCGGCCTCACTGACCAATAGGGCTGCTCAGAAAGTGGGGAGGAGCCGGGGTGAAGGGAAATGTGGAGATTCCCATGTGACTTCAGCTGCCTGTATCTCTGGATCTCATGATTATTTTGATGTGCGGTTTTCGCAGAAGGAAACCTCGAATTATGTATTTTTTGGACTGTCCAGTATTGTGACAGGTTTCCTTTTGTTTTTTTATAAGGCAGGGGCGGGTCTTACCTCTTCCAGTGAGTTGGGACTCGCCTATTGCTGCAAATACTGTAGAGGGCAGGGGTAGGCAACCAGGTCACTCCAACTGTTGTGGAACTACATGTCTCATGAGGCATTGCAAAGCTGGCAGCCACAGGCGTGGGGGGTGTCAGACACAGAAGGGGTACACAAGAGACTTCGGGGTGGGAGCATCATACAAAGAAGGGGTGCAGAGGAGACTGGAGGGAGCATCAGACACAAAAGGGGTACAGAAGAGACTTTGGGGTGGGAGCATCAGACAAATAAGGGGTGCAGGGGAGAGAAGACTGGGGGGAGTGTCAGACACAGAAGGGGTACAGAGGAGACTGGAGGGAGAGTGGGGCATCAAACAAAGGGTACTTTTTCTTG